ACCGCGGGGGTGAGCAACTAGTGATCGATTTGTCACCGAATCAAATCACTAGTGATCGATTTGTCATGGGATCGATCCACTCACCGATCTAGGGGAACCACTAGGAGGAGTAACTAGTGATCCATTTGTCACGAGATTGATTCACTGGAGGTCGATTTGTCACGGGATCGATCCTCTCACTCATTCACTAGTGGTTGCCTAGGTCTTTCCCTCAAACCGGAGTTTGAGCGGCTTAATCACAGCCAACCTAGATGCAAACTGGTAACCGCGTACCGTAGAGGGATGCATTCGTGGTCGGGGACCACAATCTCAATTGCTAAACTGAGGTAAGTATGAAAGGCCGTGTCACTCAACCTTCTCGGTTTAGAAAATCGGTAGTTGACTTACACCCTCACTCAACTTTAAGGTCGGACGGCTTAATCGCGATTATCCAATTTACTTAACTCAAGATTGAGGGTTGGCCTAGGTTAACCTAGTTTAGGTGGCTTAGAAAGCAAAAAGAAAAACAACTCGATTGAGTCTCCCTCGGAAGGGGGATTTTCCTCTAAAAACTAGGCTAAGGTGGCTAATTAGGTTGCTAGCACCTACATGCACAAACCTAAGGATGCTAAGCACAAAGCATGCACAACCCCAAGGTTGCTAAGCACGAGCATGCACAATCACCATGAAAACACCTCTAATACTCAAATAGATGCAAACCCACACTTAATCATTCAATCTAAACAAGTAATTACAAAGTATTAGTTAGGGATCTACAACACCCAAGAGAAAAGAGTGAGTTTCTAGAGAGAGAGAGAGAGAGGGATTACAAATTTGAGCTCAAGATCTTCTTCTTCTAGGCTTGAATCTTCCACCCAAGCCTCCAATGATGCTCCAAGATCACTCTAGCCTTCTCTCTCTCACTAGAACTCCCCTTTGTTGTTTAGGTTGAAACCCTAGAGAAAGAAAGTGTTTCTTCTCCAAAAAACCAGCTCCCCTTTCTCTCTCCCTCTATTGTCTTCATATTTGCCCGAAAGCGATCAGTTCACGGCAGTGAACACCTAAACGCGTACGTGAACTCAGCGTAGTCCGAAACACACCGCTTCACTGTCTTGGGTTCAAGGTCAATGGCCACAGTTCACGGTCTTAGAGACCGTGAACTGCCTTGTCGTCAGTAACTTCTGAAACCTCGCTGGACTGCTCGATGTTCACGGTTTGTTGTCCAAATTCACGATCTAAGGAGAGAATGAACTGCCTTGTCCGGCCTTGAACTGCAGTAGTTTACTGGACGCCTTCACTTCACTGCTACGACTTCAGACTTTTCTTTGGTTTTTGCACTTTTTGACCTCCAATTATCCCAAAATCCGACCTCAACCCTTCCACACATGATAGGACGTGAAATGTATCAAAACAAGCACAACCTAGCGTGAAATATGTCGAGGAACGATGAAATGCTATGCTAAACGAATAAGAAATGAGGGGTAAAATGTGTACATTTGGGCCGAATCAGGCCGGTTTTGAAACGTACTTTGGCCTGCTTGTTTATTTTGAGGGTACCATATTCATTTAGCTAATGAAGGCTATAGGGTTGAGGGTGTCTGATTGTACTTAGCCGAAACTTTTTGACAGCATCCAAGATTACAACATTAGTACAGATGCCCCATCTATCACTAGGGACAATAGCTTACCCTCAACTGTACAACGAGTGTGGTACAAGTTCTCTCGTTGTTCTTCGTCAGCCCGAGATTCCAGTGTAAGAGCTCGATGATTTACCCCGAGTAGCTTGCTTGTGGGTGGAGTTTCAGCTTCTATTGACTCGTCAACTTCAGAATCGGACTCGCTCTTTTCATCCCTGTCCTCCTCTTCTTCGTCTTCGGAAACGATTTCCCTAACCGAAGCACCGAGGCCTTCTTATTTGGACACTGGTTGGCCTTGTGGCCCTTGTTGAAACACTTAAAACATTGGATGCTGCTCGTCGATCCTCTCGGCTTCTCGTGAGACACCGTAGCAGTAGTGCGGGGTGTGAATTTGGCTCCTACCAACCGGGTCTGCTCATGATTAGTTGCAATGGGTGTTTCGGAGCAGACTTCGAGTACCATCTTCCCGCACTTGCTCGTTGTTTTCATTCCACCTTAATCACAAGGTGAACAACTTCTTCCAGTTCGACGAAGGGACGCATCTCTACTTTGAGTCTGATTTTGCGATTCATCCCATGATGGAACCGGGCAATGGTGGCTCCTTATCTTCTTGGATATCAGAGCACATCATGAGGAGGTCAAGCTCTCGATAGTACACGTCAATTGATTTTGAACCCTGTCATAGTTGTTGCAGAGCTTCGAAAAGGTCCCTCTGGTAGTAACCCAACACAAACCGTTCTCGCAGTAGACCCCTCAGCTCCATCCAATTCGCGATTTCAAGTTTCAAGTTCCTACGACGACGGAGTTGGGTAGTTTCCCACCATTGTGCGGCGTAGCCAGTGGATTCGTACGTCGCAAAAAGCACCTTCTGGGTTTTGCTATAATCGTCGCATATAAAGAACAAAATCATCTTCCTTTCCCAATCTAAATATGCCGAGGCATTGTTGGTACCTGAAAATGTCGGCACCTGTAGTTTTGATTCCTCTCAGCTCGGCAATATTGTTTCCATGTGCTGCTTCTCCTAGCTGAATTTTGGGATTGCCCTGAAGTAGGTTTTGTTCGGGAATCAGAACTTCCCCAGTGACATCCCTTTGCTTATCAGGGGCGTTCACCGTCGCTCTGAGGTCGGCCAATTGCTTATTCAGATTGTCGAACTGGGATTGGATCATGGCACTCGGTTGTGCCAGGATCGTCGCCCAAAGCAGTCTCCTTCTCCCGGACGGATTTTGCCGCCAACGATCGCCCTGCGTTGGAAAGACCGAATTTAGCCGCCTGCTTCTATTTTAACTTCTGTCCCACTACCAGGACAGCAGCAGATCACAATCCACTGGACCCTTTGATCTGGTCCACCTTGTTGTGCCCGCGCGCCGCCTTCCGTCGATGAATTTGTCATTCCTGCCACCATGGGAGTTGGTCACACGCGCCGCTAAGTTGAACCAGGCTCAAGATACCACTTGATAAGCCCCAATCCGCGAGGCTTGTTGATCAAAGCTTGAAAACCTTTCGACTTCTCAAGCTTGCTGTTGAAAACCGAATTTTGTATGAAGGAAAAAGAGTAATAGGGGAATGGATGGAGTTGGAAGGTGAAACTTCAACACCAAATTGGGGAATAGGCTCGATCCAAATAGGATAGCAACTCGTCCACGATTGATGTGGTGAATCAATCGATGCTGAGCTCGCTCGTTGCTGGAATTAAATCCACTCAACAAGGACTATTCAAGAGTACGAAAACTCTATGAACCAAGGTTCTCTTATTAAACTTCAATGATCCATTACAACGCAATTGAAGAGTACTTATATAGATAGCTAGGTTAACAGCGAGTAAGAAACCTCCTAATTCTACTAGAACTCGAAAAACAATGCTTAAACGAAAAAGGAATGAAAATCCAAATCAAACAAGGAGAGAATTCTGCCTTCAGCTCCAAGTCTGGAACATCCTTTGAGACGATCTTTGAGGCTCTCGACTGATGACTTCCAGGTATCCAATAAATCACCCAATGCCTTTTCTCTGTAGATTAACATGCATGAATTCACGTAGTAAGAAGATTCCGACCTGATTTGCTACCATCTTCCTGGAATGAAGCTTCAACGTGGCCTTCCTAAACACGGTTCTACACTTAGGCAAATTCTGGCAGTTTTCATGTGTCGAGGAAGCACTTTGTCGAGCCTGTAAAATGGTCTTATGAGATTCTTCTCGAGCTCCCAGACACCCCAGCTTGTAGAGGGAAAATCTAGGTTCAAAACAAGACCCTAAACTCACATTTCCACCAACCCAATTGGAAGAACCAAGCTCCCAAAGTAAGCCTCCTGAACTCGTCAATATTCTTAGCCAAAAATCCAGATTGTTCAAATGAGTTGGGGAAGCTTCTTGGACAAGTAATTCTAACTTGGAAATGAAGCAATCCAGGGTAGGGGTGTTCAAACAGTGTGGTTACCGTGGTAACTGTTTTAACCGGTAGTATTTGGCTAATTTGGTTTGGTTAATTTGAATAATTGGTTCGGTTTGTTTAAAAAATTTAGCTTGTTTGGTTTGGGTGGTTTGGTTTGATTTCACACATTCCTAACCAACCAAACTAAATTAACCAGTTAAGTAATTATCCATATACCTAATATATATTATATCCACATACTTAATACTTAACATAACCACTCAAGAGCCAAACATTCCTTCATTTTAGACTCATCAACAATAAAGATTAATATTGTTCCTATATTGTATATTTGTATTTGTAGAGTGTGGACCATGATATATGGACGCACAATTTAGATAAAACTCATACAATATATTAGATGAAAACTTGAAAGGAATTTTTTTTTTCAACCCATGATAATTGCTTAGACTAATTCAATTCACACAATCACAAAATTTTATTAACTCCATATAATTGACATATATTTTTGTTAGGTGAATACTTCGTAAGATAATTGTATTAGTTCATATATTTCTCTAAGAGTTAACTATAACTATGTGTTCATTGTAATGTCTCATTTATAATATAATTTTGAATTGATGCGCAAAAGTTTTCTCACTTAGTGATAATATGTTGTTATATTGGTTAATCTGGTTAACCAATTAACAAACCGATTAAATTTTAATTTGGTTAATTTGGTTGTTGTATTAGTTTGGAAGGTTAATAGAATTTTTGCTTGGAATTACCATGGTTAATAGAATTTTGTTTGGAAGGTTAATGATATTGCATTCCATGGTTAATAGAATTTTTGCTTGTTTGGTTTGGTAATTACCATGGTATCCATTTGAACACTCCTAATCCAGGGTTGTATCACCAATGCCATGCAAGAGTTCAATATTGTAAAGCATGGTTGAGAAAAGTAAAAGCTACCCTTTTTATTTTAGGCTAATACCACTGGAAATACCATCCTTTAGCGAAAGTGTCATTTATATTACGTAACTTCAATAAACACAAAAATATTCCAACCTATCGGGTATCTGCGTCATTTATGTTACACAAATTTCTGTTGACCGTTAGAGTTAACCGTTGACCTAATGATGGTCAACTTACATTCGACTATTGCTTATGCGGCGCTGCCACGTAGGAAATTTACTATTTTAAAAATTTTAATTTAATTTATAAAAATAAATAATTTAATTTCTAAAAATAAAGAATTTAATTTTTAAACAAATTTAAATAATTTTTTTAAATACTTTTATCTCTGTCCTCCTCCGCGACCTCATCCATCGCCGTAACTGCTACTCATCATCGAATCCGAAGCCAATCCCAAAACCAGCGTCGTCTACGGCATCGACCTCAACCACGCTGACATTGTCGGACGCCGAGTACCTCCCCTCTGAGCTCGGCCTCACAAATCTGGCTCTCTTCCCCAAGCGGAAACCATGGAGCTCTAGGCGGCGAGTCGACGACCCTGTTATCAAGGCTGGCGTTTCGATTTCTATTCTCGCCGGATCGCCTTCCAGTATGAAAACACTGCCCGCCATTGGGGGCTGCCGGGGAGTGGAAGACGACAAGTCTTTCAGGGTCGATGCAGTCAAATCCAAAATTTTCCGACTCTTCGGCGGGGACAAGCCGGACCACAAGATCTCTGGAGGACAGGTCATCGGCTTCAGGATCCGGTCCTCCTTCGCCTCCAAAGTGGAAAAACGGGATCAGCAGTGGTGGCAGGGATCGGGGAGAGGCTTGGTTTTTACGCATCATCGACGGCGCCGAGCTTCGCGGTGTTAAATTGACTCTCCCTTTTTATTGTATTGCATTTTTTTCTGCACCGTAAAATTGAAAAGCTTCGCGAGCTCAAGCCATAAAAAACCCAGAATCTAGTTCATCTTGAATCTCCTAGCCTTCTTATGCATCTTGAATCCATACCCCCACCCTGTCCACCAACCCGACTCAAAGCTCCTCTGCCGAGTCTACATAGAACCTAGAATCCCAAATTATGCTTGCACAATAAAAGGTTGCTCTCACACTTTCTAAAAGATTGCCTCGCCAATTACATTTTTCTTTGCCCGAAATTCCAATTTCACAATAATGGGCTGCTCACACCCAAAATCCAAATTTCATATGCTTTTATTTGCCAAATTGGAGGCCACGGAAGGGAGTGACTAGCAGAGGCGATTAGTGTGGCCAAAGGATGGTGATTTGGTAAATGGAACCGTTTCACAGAAGTAGGAGAGATCGAGAGAAGGTTGAGAGAGGGAAGGGTCCGACGGCACCGCCTCTGCGCATTTAGAGGTTTAGGGTTTTCTTGAGGAGTGGGGAGGGTGAGAGAGAATAAAGAGGTGGATATTCATTTTAATTTTTTATTTTTATTAAAAAATTCCATGTGAGCAGTGATGCTCTAAAACACAACACCTAACAATGGCCAAGTGTAACCAATGAAAGGGACTACAGTATAGTGGCACAAGTAATAAATATCGAATCCACGGGTCTCTAGAGTTACTATTACTCAGCTTCAGTTCATTATCTAGCAAACTAGATTAAGGATTGATTAACTAAACTACTCTACTAACTAAACTAAGTAAAAATACTAATTACAGTTTGGGAACTCACTTAGGTATGATTCCCCCTAGCTCCTCAATTAGGTCCAAGTTGTAATTCCTTTTGGTTGTTTTACTGTTGATTAAACTGCGGAAGATCCGACAGTACCTTGGAATCTCTTAAGCTGACCAAGCCCTCTCAGTCTATCTACCCGGCAGACGACTAGTCTTCACCGGGATAGAAAGCTGAAGCAGTAAGAACAGAACTCCACTACTGGAATTGGATTCCAGTACAAAGCAGTAAACTGGCTAACTCTCGTATAGCCAATCTCCTACTATCGAATGATGAGACTCTAGCAACCTAATCAGATTCTATCTATCTCAGATTGCAGCAGGAATCAGGAAAAGTTGATCAGACTTCAATTGACTCAATAAACATGCATCATTCGATTATAATCAAACAACATAGCATCCAAAACTTCATACACGCAAGATCCTAACTCATGGAACTAGGGTTCCTCAAAACCTAAGTGAAGGGAAGTTGCTCCATAGAGAAGAGAGAGACTGCAGAAATCTGATCTAGATCTTCAATCTCCATCTCCAAGCTTGATTCCCGAGCTCCAATGGCGAAGAAATCCTCCAAAATAGCTCCAAGAATGTTCCCAAGTCGCTCTCTCTCTCTAGGGTTCGTCCCTTGGGTGTTTGGGATCCAAAACCCAGCTCTCCCCTTTCCTTCGGCTGAAAATCGGGTTTTAACCAGCAATTCCCGACTCACACGGGCAGGGCCACACGGCCGTGTGGCATACCCAGTTGCCCGTGTGAGTCAAAATGCTGCGTTGCAATTAGTTCGATCTTCAGGGTTCTCACACGGCCAGGGTCGCACGGCCGTGTGAGATTTCCATCTGCCCGTGTTTGCTCTCGGCGAAACTCGCACGGCCAAACCACTCCTTCACACGGCCGTGTGAACATCAGGGCAAGCCGTGTTTGCTCTCGCACAATCTCACACGGCCAAAGTGGTCACTTGCACGGCCGTGTGAGTTGTGGGTGTGCCCGTGTGGCCTCCTTTGTGACTTGCCTCGCGCCCGATCTTCGTCCAATCGACCCCAAACTCGCTCCCAAGCCTCGATTCACGTACTAGGACCTGAAATATCACAAACAAGCACAACCTAGCGTGAAATCGGCCTAAAACACGAGAAATCACATCTCAAACGGTGTAAGAACAGGGGTAAAAACATGTGTAATTAACGGTCTATCAAACTCCCCCACACTTAACCGTTTGCTTGTCCCCAAGAAAACCTAACTCAAACCAATGCAACTCTCCAGACCTCTATAGCAACAAACACCCCAGATCGTAGGTAGAGGACTTCCTAAATCATTTAGCAGCTTACGAGGTCAACCGACGCACAAGTCATCTCATAGCTCCTTCGGCGAGAACGCTAGTCTTGAGTCGGCATCATGGCAAATAGTGAACAGAGGACAAATGAATTGTGGATGAAGAGATTCTCAAAAACAAAAGATCATGGACTCACATTTTTCAAGGTGCTCTATTTTTCTTCTTGAAGATGGTTGGAACCCCTTTTCTTTCTGTTTTTTTTTTCTGTTATTTTATTTTTCAAGGGTCCCAACCTGCTCTTACCGGCCATGCCAGGAGCGGATGTCTCGAGCCTCGTGCGGGGGAAAGACATGTAAGGGGGCTGGAGGTAGTAGGTGGAAATTGGGAACGGATTCCCGTCTCCCCTTACACACTTTCGCCCTATTCGCACGGGAGACGTTATTTTGAAACCCATTTTCGAGCACCTGTTAAACTCAAAACATGATACAAGAGTCCATGACAGGTAGAGAATCCACAACACCTCACAATTCAAGGGTCCTAAGATCACTAATTCACTCAATCAACCAACACAATATGAAGAAGAAATGAGATTTCTTAAATGCATCAACATCCTCCATAGTGCTACACTACCTCCCTAGGTTGCATATTACTATAAAGACTGTCAATTCAAAGCATACTAAGCAGGCAATTGCAAGGAACACGTACTTGGAGCCCTTAAAAATTTGGACAGTGGACTAGGCTCCAAGCACACAAACAGCCAAACATTCACCCGCATACATAATCGAACATCCCCCCACACTTAAGCACGACATTGTCCTCAATGGAGGAACGATAAGGAGGGTAGAACGAAGTTACCAGATCAAGGGTGAATGATGATGAACGGGTCAGGCGGTGCATTCTAGAAAGAGAGAGTAATCAGAACACAAACACCACACAAAATCTCACAAAGGGTTAGTTATTGACTCTAAAATCAAATAGCAAAACTGACTCAACCGAGGAGAAATAGAGAAAGAAATGCAAACCGACTGGTTGGGTTGCCTCCCAACAAGCGCTTCTTTCACGTCGTGAGCCGGACGATGGCTCCTAAGTTTCGGTCCATGCTAGAACCTCCTTGAAGTTGAGGTTCTCGTCAATGAGGTGGAGTCTCAAGTCACGAGCATGTGGTGTGGCAGGTGATGAAGGCTCATGTACTTGATGCGGATGAAGTCTCCACCCTCGAGACCTCTTCTTCTCTTCTCTCGTCTCATTGCCCCAAACCAGATATGACAGCATCGATTGGCCACCATCGCGTCCACCAAGAGGGACCGATGTTGATGTGGCCTTGGTCTGGCAAAGAGACACTGCAAATGGGTCCTTGCTAAGCAGTTCCTCAAAGTTTGGTGGGGATATTACTTGTAACTCATGGCCGGTGCAGGCCTCTTTCACCTTAACTCCGTCCTCAGCCTGGACGCCAATTGCTTCCTCAACCCCCCTTCCTTCTTCAAAATGTGGTCTCTCCCCTGGGAAAAGATCAAGAACCACCTCTTCTTTTCTTTCTTCCTCATCATCCACAACTTCCTTCCTCATCCTTGCTCGCTCTTCTTCTTCTAGAGCAGATTGGAGAGCAAGTCGCCAAGCAATTTCTTCAATGGGATCATCTTGCATCTCCTCGCACGGGCCCAGCATGTTGGAGCATACATGAGGAAAGGTGTGGTCGCTCCCATAGCCTTTGTCATCCTCCACCTCTTCTAGCGTGGTAGCAGAAAGGTGATCTTGAGCAAGATGCGAGCAAACTTGCTTCACCCACTCTGTTTGCTTCGTTGAGCGGTGAACAGTCTCCTCCATATCATGGAGAAATGAGGGATCGGAAGTGGCAAGGGCTTTGATTTGAAGATCCATCTTAGAGCATGATTTCTCAGTGTCTCGAGCAAACTGCTCCACGAGAAGCCTTAATTGTTTGTTCGGATCTTCCAGTGAAGTGTAGCATGGCTCTGCAGAGTGGCCCGTGAAGGCCGCCATGGGTAACTCCAGCTCCGATGGCCCTTCTGGTTGTGGGAGAAAGTCTTCTTGGTAATGAGGTTGTTCTTGATATGCCCAGGGGTCTGGTTGTTCTCCGTAGAAAGGGGGTTGGTATTGGAACCCGAATCCATAATCTTCTCCTCCTTGATTGCTCCAGGGAGTCTCGGGGTAATACCACTCGGATGGTGGTGGATACCCCTACTGGTTGGAGAAGCCATGCGGATCCATGATTCAGATCTGCACCAACAAAAACAAAAAACACCCAAGTGAAAAGCAAGGGTGGAAAAGAAAATAAAAACGCTAAAGTAACAAACTTCTGCCTTTCCTAATAATCTAGAAAGTCCCCGGCAACAGCGCCAAAAACATGATGCTCTAAAACACAACACCTAACAATGGCCAAGTGTAACTAATGAAAGGGACTGCAGTATAGTGGCACAAGTAATAAATATCGAATCCACGGGTCTCTAGAGTTACTATTACTCAGCTTCAGTTCATTATCTAGCAAACTAGATTTAGGATTGATTAACTAAACTACTCTACTAACTAAACTAAGTAAAAATACTAATTACAGTTTGGGAACTCACTTAGGTATGATTCCCCCTAGCTCCTCAATTAGGTCCAAGTTGTAATTCCTTTTGGTTGTTTTACTGTTGATTAAACTGCGGAAGATCCGACAGTACCTTGGAATCTCTTAAGCTGACCAAGCCCTCTCAGTCTATCTACCCGGCAGACGACTAGTCTTCACCGGGATAGAAAGCTGAAGCAGTAAGAACAGAACTCCACTACTGGAATTGGATTCCAGTACAAAGCAGTAAACAGGCTAACTCTCGTATAGCCAATCTCCTACTATCGAATGATGAGACTCTAGCAACCTAATCAGATTCTATCTATCTCAGATTGCAGC